AGGTTCGGCCTTTCACGGGGCTCAGCCTCTCCTGTGCTTGGCCTCTACCGGGGCTCAGCCTCTCCTGTGCTTGGCCTCTCCCGGGGCTCAGCCTCTCCTGTGCTTGGCCTCTCCTGGGGCTCAGCTTCCCTCCAGCTCATCCTTTCCGGGGCTTGGCCTCTCCCGGGCTCAGCTCTGTATCTGGGGCTTGAATTAGGGGCTTTTTCTTTCCGTTGGGCTTTGAGGTTGGGGATGGGCGCATCATCACTTCCTTTGGCTGAAATTTTAGTTGCAAAAGTCGCAAGTTCCCTTCTTCAGGTTTTGTCTGAAGGGCTTCCTCAAAGCCAGACCGCTCCTGGAGTGAGCGAAATCATGTGGAGGCTGATGTTCAGAAGCAGAAAGCTGCCGGGCTTGGTTGGTGTGCTCGCCGCCCTGGGTCTAGAGGGGCGGGCTGCGGATGCACCCTGTGGACTGACGGAGACTTTCTCCCCTCTGCTTTTACAGAGCAAAGGCCACGCTGCCCCGCCGGAGACCCAGCCCGCCGCGCCCGTGGAGGTAAGAGGCGCCGCCGGTCGGTCCCCTCCGCGTGCCACGGGGCCACGCGGGAAGTCTGCTTCCATTTCCAAAGTGCGTCTGCCGTGGCTGTGGCTGTCGCGTACCGCCCAGGGCCTGGCAACGCCAGTGCAATGGCTTTCGGACGGGCCGTTACAGTGACACGTTTCTCTTCATCCTGTGTGAAGCCCGGAGTGGGGCGGTGCGTGGGGCGTGCGTGTGTGCTGAACGGGACACGTCGTCTTGCCGTGTGTTGCGATTGTGGCTTTATTCGGAGCCCGTGGCCCCGGCAGGTGTGTGCGTGTGTGTAGAGGTGCCGTTTTATCCACATTTCTTTCACGGCTGTTCGTGCCTTCTGAATAAGCTGGGGTCGCGAGTGGTGCAGAGCCCTCCCAGCCGGACTCCCGGGCGCTGGGGCTGGCCCCGTGCAGCATGTGCCCTGGAACCACGGGCTGCGGCCGGGAGCGGGTCCCGCCCAGGTGTCAGTGGCGGCTGTTGCAGTGGTTGGGCTGAGGGCTGCTGGCAGGGTGGCGGGCACGTTCTGTTCCAGCGGCTCTCCACCCGTGACAGGAGGGGCTGCTTTCAGTGTCGTGGCCTGGCCATGTGACTGAGCAACGACGCTGCCTGGAGGAGGGGTGCCACTGTCACGTGGTGCTCAGGGTAAATGCCGACTGTGGTGTGGCGCAGACCGGGGCTCATCCTGGTGGCTACCGGGCAGTCCTCTGAAACGTGGTTCTGGGGGACCAGCAGTTAGCGTAGTGGCTATGTCGCTGGACTCCCATGAAGTCAACCGTGGTTTGAGTCCCGGACTCGGTGGCTTAAACTCACGCCGGGCACGTGTGCGTGTGTGCCCAAGACCCCGAGAGGAGAATGGAGGAGGATGGAGGATTGCGGCATGGCCATCCCCCCTGGGGGGTGATTTCTCGCTTTCTGTCTCTCTGTCTCTGTCTGTCTGTCTGTCTGGCAAGCGCACATGCCCTATAGCAAAAACCTCTCCAAAAAAAACCCCAAAATACTGTGGCTCTGGCTACGCTGGTGCCAACCGTGCGCTGACACGGGACAGACCACTCCTGGATCCGGCAGCTCAGGTTTCCTGAGAGGAGGACAACCCCACAGAGGCCTGGCCGGGCAGAGGGCGGCACTCGCCTGCAGAGAGGAGCTGTGTCCCGGACAGGCTTTGCAGCACTCCTTGGTCCGCAAGGCCTGCGGGTTGCAGCCCAGCTGTCAGGCCCAGTGCCCTGGAGTTCCGTCGGTGACACCTGTGGCGCCCGTGTGGCAGGAAAGTGTTTCCTCTGACCTCTGACATGAAGGACAGTTGGCGAGAGATTCCTGACAGATTCTCTTGCAGACTGGAGCTCCTTCTCAGGTCTTGAGAGCGGACGGCTGGTGCTCACAGGTGTCTGCCACGTGAGCTCTCAAGCGGGGTTGGGCCGTTTCAGTGAGAGGCTAGACACACCCCCGAATACCGTCCCGACCACATCTGAACGTCGGTGACAGGAACGTCTGGCCCTCAGTCTTCTCACAATCTCTTTTCTGTCCAGTTCCGCGTGATCGGGGAAGGAAAAGCCAAGCGCTAGGTGGCAGTTCTCTGCGAGAGTCATTTGGCTTTATGGGGAGGCTCGAGGAGCTGGCCTCCCGGGAAGCCCGAGTGCTCCTCCACCTGCACACAGCACTGCGTGTCCAGCTGGCCACGGCCACCAGACTGCACGGCACCCCGCGAGGGAGGCCTGCTTACTGCCGGGAACGAGACAGGGTCTGCTGGGCGATGGGGCTGGAGGACAGGACGGCGATGTCCTGGTGGCCCATTTGAGTGGCTCCACTCTCCAAGGGCATCACCCACAGGACCTCCCCCAGGAGAGCCACTGTGGCCGTCAGATCGCACTGGGCCAGGCCCAGGAGGGCCCAGGTGCGATGTCGCAGCTGCGGTCTGCCCTAGACAGGTTAAAGCTCGCATGAGCTTTCCAGATGCACCCTGAGCGAGGCAGGCGGGATAAGACTGGGATCGGACCTCACGCAGCATCGTCTGCGAGACTTCCCAAAGGAGGAGGCGCTGGCCGGGTGTGGTGACTGGCGAGGTCGGCCGTTCCCTCTGCCGGCTCTGCCCGGCCTTCTGTCCCCACCTCCCGTACGTTGGAATCAGCTTCTGCAAAGGTCCGTGCCGTACGAGGGAGGCTGCGCCGCTGCGAGCCCTGGCAGCAGCCTCCGGGGCACAAGGAGGCCCCGCCCTGATGTGAGGAGTGCTGTCTCCCACTCACAGGGCGGGGGCGTAAGTTAGCACGGCCGTTCGGGAACTGGGGGGTGCTGATGACAGAACCGCCACCTGAGCCGTCACCCCACCAGGCCTGTACCCAAGGGAGGGAAGTCGGGGGTCGGGGCGGCGTCCGAGCTCCAGGCTGGCTCCGTGGTTCCGGGTGCAGGATCCACGTGGCTGACGTGGCTGACGTGGCTGACAAGCACAGTGGCCTGCGTGCTTCAGTGCCCCAGATCCCGCAGGACGGAGGAAGGGAGGAGAAGGAAAGGATTGGGAGAGGACAGACCGTCTGTCTCTCTGTCTCTCTGTCTCTCTGTCTCTCTCTAGTGAGCACTTGTGCCCCCGACAGGAAAACAAAGGTTCTCTGTGCCCAGTGCTCACGACCTAGTGGCAGGGGCCAGGTATGCCACAACCTCCATGTCCGCCCACAGAAGACGGCTGGAGGGGACAGGCTACGTGCTCACGATGGATGCCAT